GGTGAGAAACGAAACCGAGCGCTGGGCTGGGGGCTGTGAAAGGCCGGGCGGGCCGAGGGGTGGGAGAAGCAGCGGTAGATATATATATATATATACGGTACAAGTTAATAACGAACATACTCTCCTTTTAAAATTGTTTATTTCTTTTTGCCTTGTCAAGGATTAATGTCTTATCAGTCGGTTTTCCCAACCGCTCCTCAAGTTTCTGACTTAATAGGCGGCTGGATAGAAACGAAAGTGTTCAGATAGAAACCAAGCCTTGGTTTTCAGTGAGGCAGACGTGAAGTGCAAGTGTTCCCAGGTGTTTCTTTAGCGGCTCTGTGGCTCCGAAGATGTAAAAACGCTGTAAAAATAGCCTCAATGGGCACACGCTGTTGTGGCAGTTGTTTGATAACAGTTTTCTTTCTTCAGAAGCTCCAGTGTTGGAAATACATTTACTGATAGTGCTGTAATCTCAGAAGTTGCATCTTAAAAACAAGCAACTAAAGAAATTAACTTTTTCTGTTTCCTCAAAGAGACGTTGGAAGGCACTGAGCAATAGGTTATCCAGTTAACGTTGGTGTTCTGAAGGCTGATTTCTCGTGGGCGGGGGGGGATCATCCATCTAGAAATGGTGCTGCTGGCTTGAGGCAGGAGTAAGGGCTGAGCTCCTGGTGCCCCGGTGCTCTCTGCACCTTTGGTGTTTGTACGCCTTGCGTCCTCCTCGAGGTAGGAAATGAGGGGAGGTGGGGAATTCTGGCCACAGAGTAATACGGTTCCTGCAGTCGTTCCCTGAACAGGATCGGTTATTTATGAAAATAATATGAATAATAATGAAAAAATAATGAATAATATGAAAAAATTTCCCAAGCGGAGCACTGTCCGACCTCTCAGAGCCAAGCTGTTTTCAGGAAACTCTCATCTTCGCAGATCAGTTTATTAACTTGAACCTGGGGATAACTTGTTTACGCTGCAAAATTTGACTTTCACATAATGCAGTAAAGCCGCCTTGATTTTCTCTTAACGCAGTGTGAAAATGGTGACTTTTGCATGCTGTGTATGTTAATATCCCACTTAGAAAGGAACATTGAGGCCTGGTTGGGCTTGCCTTTCTCCTTAGCTACTCAGTTCTCTAAACCATGAATTCATAGGAAAGCTTTTATAGGATGTTTTTGTTATGATCAACTGTATTTTCTGCAAAGTTACCTCTGCGGCTTTCTCACAGCAAAAAGGATATTACTGCTGCTAAT